GACAAACGCAAATACTCATTGAAGTATTGTCTCCATGGAGTAATGTGAGGAAAGGGAGAGAGAGTCATCGCCATTCTACTCCAGTACTACACACGTACTCTACCAAAATATTTCCCATTTACTGTGTACGCTGTAGGATCAATGTGTTCGCTTGTATTCATGTATTTGAATTATTCACAATAAAACAGTTTTACAATACACCATGATTCCTGATGTCCTGATCTATTTCAAAACGTTTATCTAATGTGAGGGTTCCATTGAACTTTGTCGGTTGGCCAATGATTATCTTGGTATCTATTTCACAATTGCCAAATAGCTAGATTTTAGGGTTGGTGACATTAAACTTTGCGACATTGTATTTAATATGTTAGTAATGTGTTGATTTGAAGATCAGATTGAAACTGTGTGTGCATGTGTGTGTGTGCCTGTGTGTGCTCAGTTACTAGCCTCAGAACCTAGTCAGATTGAAACTGTGTGTGTTCCCCGCTTGAAGTCTAAAGCACTATATGCGAGGAAATCTGACCTAGGTGTCAGACACAGTAACTTAATAAAAGTTCAGACAGACAGAAATAGTTCTAGCGGTAGGGTTGTTAAATGTGGTTTAATGAACGTCAGATCAATCTCGTCTAAATCGCTTCTCATAAACGAACTTATTATAGACAAGGGCTTGGATCTGTTTGCGCTCTCGGAGACTTGGCTCCAACAGGACGACTACGTTAGATTGAATGAGTGCACTCCTCCGACGCATGTTAACTACCAGAAAGCCAGAGCTACAGGTCGCGGCGGTGGTGTTGCGATTATATCACACACCAACTTGGTTCTTAGTCCCAAAACCAACAACGCTTTTCACTCGTTTGAAAACTTAACACTTTCAATCACCTGTCCTGGGCCGAGAAAGCAAAAAGCAGTACTATTTATAGTTTTATACCGACCTCCTGGTCCTTACAGCGAGTTCCTAACAGAATTCTCTGACTTCATTTCAAACCTAGTTTTGGAATGGGAAAACATAGTTATAGCTGGAGACTTCAATATACATGTGGACGACAGCACTGACAGCTTAAACAAAGCTTTCAGCGCCGTACTAGATGGTGTTGGTTTTACTCAGAATGTCGAGGAACCTACTCACATTCATAACCACACCTTGGACCTTGTCCTGACCTACGGCTGTGATGTCTCCAATGTTGACATCCAGCGTCAAAGCTCGTTGCTGTCTGACCATTTCTTGATCACGTTTGATCTCGCTTTGGAGGACTTTCCTGTCCCGCAAGATAAAACCATAATGAAAAGAACCTTAAATGATAAATCTATCACAAGGTTCAAAGAACTAATACAGCCTATGTTGAATACTGCTGCAGGTGAACCTGTTCACAGCAGCTGCAGTCCCTCAGTCATTGACCAAACGGTTGGCAACACTATGGAGTCTTTAAAATCTGCATTAAATGCAGCAGCTCCTTTAAAACAGAAAACCATTAGGATTAGATCATCGTCGCCCTGGTACAGTGTTCAACTCCACACTTTAAAACAGGACGTCAGAAAATTGGAGAGGCTATATCGCCACTCCCACTCGGAGCCTGTCCACAGGGAGTGGAAAGCAGGTCTCCGAAACTACAAGAAGGCCCTTCGCGGGGCTCGAACTCAATACTATTCAACTTTAATAGAAGCGAATAAAAACAACAGTAGATTTTTGTTTGGCACCGTCGCTAAACTCACAAACTGCCATAGCGCAATCGAGCCTAAAATTCCAAGCTCACTGAGCAGTGTCGACTTTCTCCACTTCTTTAATAATAAAATTAAATCCATCCGTGACAAGCTGGAGGAGGTTGCTCCTGCTGTTAGTGGTGGACAGGTTGAAGCGGCATACGTGACTTCCCACTTAGACTCTTCAGTGGGCCTTAATAAATTCATGGCTGTGAGCCAAGCAGAGGTGATCTCTGTGGTCACATCCTCAAAAGCCTCAACTTGCATGTTAGACGCAGTCCCGACATGGCTCTTCAAAGACATACTTCCTTTGATAATTGAGCCTATCGTAAATATAATAAACGCATCCATACAATGTGGCTATGTCCCACAAGCTTTTAAAACCGCGGTAATCAAACCCCTTCTGAAGAAAACAAACCTGGACCCAGAAATACTTACAAACTACAGACCGATCTCAAACCTCACTTTTATATCTAAAATCCTGGAAAAACGTATAGCTGAGCAGCTCCGCTGCCACCTGCAGGAAAATGATATGTTTGAAGTCTTTCAATCAGGATTCAGAGCTCATCATAGCACTGAAACGGCACTAGTCAAAGTCACAAATGACTTACTACTAGCTGCCGATAATGGACAAGTGTCAGTGCTGGTCCTACTGGACCTTAGTGCTGCATTTGACACAATAGACCACAGCATTCTACTGCAGAGGCTAGAATGTGATATAGGTCTTAGAGGAACAGCCCTTGGCTGGTTTAAATCCTATTTATCAGATCGATATCACTTCGTCAATGTGAATCAGGACTCGTCGCCTTATTCTGGAGTGGAATTCGGTGTGCCGCAGGGTTCGGTACTCGGACCGATTCTTTTTACTCTCTACATGCTGCCACTGGGAAACATTATTAAAAAGCATGGAATTAATTTCCACTGCTATGCAGATGACACACAGCTTTATCTGTCGATGAAGCCTAATCAGACAGATCAGCTAGAAAAGCTCAGTGCCTGCATAAAGGACCTTAAAATGTGGATGACTCTTAACTTCCTACTTCTCAACCCGGAGAAGACAGAAGTGATCCTACTCGGTCCGAAGCGCCTGCGTGACTCCCTCACTAACCAGATGGTTACTCTCGATAATGTCAGTATAATACCCAGTAACACTGTGAGGAATCTTGGAGTCATTTTTGACCAAGAACTCTCCTTCAAGGCTTATATAAGCCAAGCAACTAAAACGGCGTACTTCCACTTACGGAACATCGCTAAAATTAGGAATTTCCTTCCTAAAAGTGACGCGGAAAAACTCATTCACGCGTTTGTCACCTCAAGGCTCGACTACTGTAACGCTTTACTGGCAGCGTGCCCTAAAGCCTCTTTGAAGAGCTTCCAGCTCGTTCAGAATACAGCAGCTACGATCTTAACAGGTACCAAAAGGAGGGAGCACATAACTCCGGTGTTAAAATCACTCCACTGGCTCCCTGTGGAGTACAGAATAAAGTTTAAAATCCTACTCTTAACATATAAAGCCATAAATGGCTTGGCTCCCTCTTATCTCCAAGACACGTTAGTGTCGTATCAACCAGGTCGAGCGTTGCGCTCACAAAACGCCAGACGTCTGGTGGTCCCTAAGGTCTCAAAGGTCACTGTTGGTGGCAGAGCATTTAGCTACCAAGCTCCTTTACTGTGGAATCAGCTTCCCATTTATGTTAAGGAAGCAGATACGGTCTCCACATTCAAGGCCAGGCTTAAAGCACTTTACTTTAATTTAGCATATAATTAGGTAATATATAATATGTAGTGTATATATTATATATATATATGCTGTATTATGTTATATATTATGTTATATATTATTCAATAATGTATTGTGTTATGTTGTATATTATGTTATATATTATGCTGTATGTTATTCTTTATTCAAGGCTAGGTTTAAAACAGTCCTCTTTAGTTTAGCATATGGCTAGGAAGGTAAGACTCGGAGAAGGTTAAACTCCTCAGAGTGTCAGTCAAGCTGCATAGGGAGTCAGTTTGCTGGGAGAAGTATGGTAACTTGAGCACTATCCTCTCCTCCTTCCTACTTTATCTGTTTAGCATTTTTAGGATTCTGACTGTAGTTTGTTCATTGCTATTCACCCGTTGTCCCATTGTCTGTTTCATGGTACAATGACGGGATCTCTGAGCCTGGCCTCTTCCATCTACACCTGCGGACTGCCCCGCCCGACCCGCCTGGGAGTGCTTCAGTCCTGCACCGGACCTGTCCACGTTCAGCGTCCACTGGTCCACGTTCTGTAGCTAGCTTAGGTCCTAGATCATTAGCCTGTCCGTCCGGAGGAGCGGATCCCTTTCTCATATGGGTCTCCCTCCCTGTGGGTTTCCCTAGTTCTCCTCCAAGGTTTCTCACTTTTTCCCACTGGGTTTTTTAAGAGTTTTTCCTTGTCGATGCAGGAGGGTCTTGTTGGACAGTTAGTGTCCAACAGAAAGGATTGGTGATGATCAGGACACTTTAGCATTGTACAACATGTATGGACATTTTCTTCTGTGTGTGCTTTATATTCTTCATGTGTTTTAACTGTTGATTCTCTGACCTGTGTTGGTGATTTCAATGGTTTTGTTAAGTCCTCTGAGATGACTTCTGTTGTGACCTAGGGCTATACAAGAATAAATTGTATTGTATTGTATTGTATTGTATTTGAGTGTGTTGATTGTGAGTGAGTTTTAAAAAAAAGTCATATTGCCAATAGTACACAGTAAGAAGAAACTTGTTTGTGTTTCCATATAAGGGGTTACACTGAGGAGCAGCAAACTGAGCAGCTAAAGCGAGGTCCAAATATAAAACAATTCAGGAAAAGATACAATTAAATTATTTTAGAATGTAATAAAAATGAAGGACATTTATTTTGTTTGCTTATGTTGCTAGAATATAGTAAATATTTAGGAAAATGTAATAGTCTCATGACCACTGCCGCTTTTGTTGTTGTACATAGTGTAGACTTTTTACACTTCTATAGTATTTGACATGAAACATAAAGTAAACTAAGTAATATTCTACACTGTCTTCCATTGATGATGCTAACTATACATATAAAGCCATAAATGGCTTGGCTCCTTCTTATCTCCAAGACACGTTAGTGTCGTATCAACCAAGTCGAGCGTTGCGCTCACAAAAACGCCAGACGGTGGTTGCGGTGGTAGGGGTGGTATGGTGTGTATTGAGAAAATTATTTATTATTATTATGGGTGGGTAATTTTTTGATTATAGGGAAAGTTGGGATGATATTGTGTTTTATTAGGGATATTGGATTGTTTAGGATGTGATGGGGTGGAATTTATGGTATGGTTGTGGGTTTGTAAGTGTGGGGGGGGGGGGGGGGGGGGGGGTTGGGGGTGGTGGGGGGGTGTGGGGTGGGGGTGGGGTTGGTGGTGTGGGGGGTGGGTGGGGGTGTTGGGGGGGGGGGGGGGGTGTGTGGGGTGGGGGGTTGGGGGGGTGTGGTGGTGGGGGGGTGGGGGGGGGGTGGGGGTGGTGGGTTGTGGGGGTGGGGGGGTTGGTGGTTGGGTGGGTGGGTTGGTGGGGGTGGTGGGGGGGGGTGGGGGGTGGGGGGGGGGGGGTGGGTGGGTGGTGTGGGGGGGGTGGGGGTGGGGGTGGGGTGGGGGGGTGTGGGGTGGTGGGTGGGTTGGTGGTGTTGGTGGGGGTGGTTGGGGTGGGGGGTTGTGGGGGTGTGGGGGGGGGTGGGGTGGGGTGGTTGGGTGGGTGTGGTGGGGGTTGTTGGTGGGGGGGGTGTGGTGGGGGGTGGGGGTGGGTGGGGGGGGGGGGGGGGTGGGGGTTGTGGGTGGGGGTTGGGGTGGGTGGGTGGTGGGGGGTGTGGGGTGGGTGGGGGTGGGGGTGTGGGGGGGTGGGTGGGTTGTGGGGGTGGGGTGGGTTGGGGTGGTGTGTTGGTGTGGGTGGTGGGTGGGGGGGTGGGGGGGGTGTGGGGGGTGGGGGGGGTGTGGGTGGTTGGTGGGTGGTGGGGGGTTGGGGGGGGGTGGGTGGGTGGGGGGGTGTGGGTGGTGGGGGTTGGGTGGTGGGGGGTGGGGTGGGTGGGGGGTGTGTGGTGGTGGTGGGTGGGGGTGGGGGGGGTTGGGTGGGGGGTGTTGGTGGGGGTGGGGGTGGGGGGTGGTGTGGGGTGGTGGGGGTGTGGGGTGTGGTGGTGGGGGTGGTTGGGGTGGGGGGTGGGGTTGGGGGTGGGTTGGGTGGGTTGGTTGGGGTGGGGGTGGGGTGGTGGGTGTGGGTGTGGTGGGGGTGGGGGGGGTTGGGGGGGGTGGGGGTGGGGGGGGGGTTGGTTGTGGGTTTGTGGTGTGTGGTGGGGTTGTGGTTGTGGGGTGGGGTGGTTTGGTTGTGGGGTGGGTGGGGGTGGGTTGGGGTGGGGTGTGGGTTGGGGTGTGGGGGTGGTGTGGTTGGTGTGGGGGGTGGGGTGTGGTGGGGGGTGTGGGGTGGGGGTGGGTTTGGTGGGGTGGGGGGTTGTGGGTGTGTGGGGGTGGTGGGGTGGGGGTTGTGGGGTGGGGTGGTGTGGGGGGTGTGGGTGGTTGGTGTTGGGTGGGGTTGGGGTGGGGTGGTGTGGTGGGTGTGGGGTGTGGGGGGGTGTTGTGGGTGTGGGGTTTGGTGGGTGGGTGTGGTTGGTGTGGGGTGTGTTGTGGGTGTTGTGGTGGGTGGGGGTTGGTGGGGTGGGGTTGGTGGGGTTGGGGGGGGGTTGGGGTGTGTTTGGTGGGTGTGGTTTGGGGTTGTGGTGGGGTGGGTGGGGGGGTTGTGGGGTGGGGTGGGTGTGGGGTTGTGTGGTGGGTGTTGGGTGGGGGTGGGTGTTTGGGTGGGGGTTGGGTGTGGTGTTTGGGGTTTGTGGGGTGGGTTGTGTGTGGGGGGTGGTTTGTGGTGTGGGGGTGGGTGGTGTGGGGTGTGGGGGGTGGGTTGGTGGGTGGGTGTTGTTGTGTTGGTGGGTGGGGGGGTGGTGGGGGGGGGTGTGTGGTGGTTGGGTGTGGGGTGGGTTGGGGGTTGTGGGGTTGTGGTGGGGTTGGTGGGGGGTGGGTTGGGGTTGTGGTTGTGTGGTGGGGTGTGTTGGGGGGGGTGGGGGGGTGGGGTGGTGGTTGTGGTGGTGGGTGGGTGGGTGGGGTGTGGTGGTGGTGGGTTGGGGTGGGGGTGGTTGGTGGGGGTGGGGGGGTGGGGTGGGGGGTGTGGGGTGGGGGTGTGGGGGGTGGGGGTGTGTGGTGGTTGGGGTTGTGGTTGGTGGGGTTGTGTGGTGTGGGTGGTGGGGTTTTGGGGTGGGTGTGTGGTTTGTTGGGTGTGGTGGTTGTTGTTGGTGTGTGTTGTGGTGTGGGGGTGGGTGGGGTGTGTGGTTGTGTTGTGGGGGGGTTGTGGGTGGTTGGTGGTGGTGGGTGGTTGGTGGGTTGTGGGGTGGGGGGGGTGTGTGGGGTGTTGTGGGGTGGGGGTGTTTGTGGGGGGTGGGGTGTGGTGGGGGGGGGGGGGGGGTGGTGGGGGTGGGGTGGGTGTGGGTGGGTGGGGTGGGGGTGGTTGGGTGTGGTGGGGGGGGTGTTGGGGGGGTGGGGGTGTGTGTTGTGTGTGGGTGGTTGGGTGTTTGGGGGTTGTGGTTGGGGGGGTTGTTGGTGTGGGGTGGGTGTGTGTTTTGGGTGGTGGTGTGGTGGGGTTGGGTGTGGTTTGGTGGGGGTGGTGGGTGGTGGGTGTGGTGTGGGTGGTGGGTGGGGGGTTGTGGGGTGTTGTGTGGGTGGGGTGTGGTGGTGGGTGGTGTGGGGGGGGTGTGTGGGGTGTGGGGGGGTGTGGGGGTGGGGGGTGTGGGTGGGTGGTTGTGGTGGGGTGTGTGGGGTTGTGGTTGTGGTGTGGGGGGTTGGGTTGGTGTGTTGTGGTGTGTGGGGTGGGTGTGGTGTTGGGGGGTTTGTGGGTGGGTGTGTGTGGTGGTGTGGGGGTGGTGTGTTTGGGGTGTTGGGGGGTGTTGGGTTTTGTTGTGGGGTGGGTGGGGGTGGTGGGGTTTGGGTGGTGTGTTGGTGGGGGTGGGGTTGTGGTTGGTGGGGTTGTGGGTGGTTTGTGGTATGGTGTTGGGGTGGGTGTGGGGGGTGTGGTTGGTTGTGGTGTTTGGGGTGGTGGGGGTGTTGTTGGGTTGGGGTGGGTGTGGGGGTGTTGGTGGGGTGGGTGGTATGGGTTTTTTGTTGTGGTTGTTTGGTGTGTGGGTGTTGTGGTGGGGGGGGTGTGTTGGTTGTGTGTTTGTTGGTGGTTTGGTTGTGGTGTTTAGTAGGGGGGTGGGGTAGGGGGGGGATTTGGTGGATTTTTGGGAGGTAGGGTAGTGTTTTGGGTGGTTGTGCAGTGGGAGGGGTGTGTGGTGGGGGTGGGTGTGAGTGGAGGTGGGGGATATGTGGGATGGGGTTGTTAGGATGGGGTGGGGGTTTTTAGATGGTGGTGGGTTGGGGGGTGGTGGTGGGGTGTGGGGGGTGGTGGTGGGGTTGTGTGTGGTGTGGATTTGGTTGGTGATAAGTGGGTGGGGTTAGGTTGGGGGGGGTGTGATAGTATGGTGGGTATGGTAGGGGGGGATGGAGATAGGGGAGTTGGGGGTGAGTAGGTGGTTTTGGGTTGGTATGGGGTTGTGTGGTGGTAGTGGGGGATGGTGTTGGATGGGGTGAATGTGGGGTGTGGGTGGGAAGGTTTTGGGGGGTTTGTAGGTTATGTTTAGGGGAGGGAATATGAAGTGGGGGGATTAGAGGGTTTATTGTTTTAGGGTGGTGTTATTTTATGTTGTTTATGATGGGGTGGTAGGGTTGGTGTTGGAATATTAGGGAGGAATATGTTTGTTTTTAATGGGGATGTGGGAGGGGGGGGTGAGGGAAGGAATTAGATGAGTGTGTTGGGGGAAGGGTTTGATGGGTTATTTGGTGGTTGGTTTGTTTTGGGAGTTTGTAGGTGAGATGTTGGGATGTGGTGTTGGTGGGGTGGTAGTGGGATGAGGAGTTTATTTTGGTTGTATGGATTTTTTGGGTTGGGTGGTTTGGGTTGTGAGGGGGTTAGATTGTTTTTTGTGGGGGTATGGGGGTGTTAGTGGGAGATTGGGGTTAGGTTGTGGTATATTGGATGGGAATTAAAGGGAAGGTTTTTTATGGGGAATTGTTTTGTTTTGGTTAGTGTTGGGGGTTTGGTGGTTTTAATGTTAAGGGAATATTTTGTGAGTGTGATTATTATATTATTGTGGATTTTGTTGAGGGGAGGAGTTGATGGGGATTTAGTAGGGAAATATGAATAGGGGGAGGGGGGTAGTGTTGGGTTTATTGGGGGATTGGTTTGGGGTAATGTTGAAAGGGTAATGTGGTATGTGAATTTTGATGTTTATTAGGAATTATTTGGGGAGATGGGGATTATGTTGTTATTATGGGTTGTGTGTTGGTTAATAAGGGGAGAGGGGAGTTTGTTGTGGGTGGGGATTTTAAGTGATTTTTATGATTTTTTTAGGTGTTGTGTTATGGATTGTGATTGATTAAGGGTGATTTGGGTGGGGAATGGAAGAATAAAAGGGTTTTTTTGTTTTGTAGTAGATTGTATTTAAATGTAGGGGAAATATGTTTTTATGGTGAATGAAGAAAGGTGGAAGGTATTTTTAAGGTTATTTTGTTAGGTATGTTATTATTGGTTATTGATAAGGGTATATGGAGGGGTTGTAGGTGTAGGGGGGATTATATTATGGATTTTATGATGTGAATATGTATATGGTGGATGGGTGGAGATATTAATTGGTGAATTTGTTATGATTGTGTTGATGGGTATGGTAAGGGGTTTAATTAGTTTGGTTATTAGGGGTAGTAAATGATATGAGTGGGGTGTGGGTTATATTTGGTATTTAATAGTAGGGTTTTTTGGTTTGATTGGTGGTGTTTGGATTGTTGTTTTGGTTTTTTTTTATTGATTAAATTGGTATAATATGTATGTGGGTTAGATTAGGGTAATTTTTGGTTGAGTATATTTTTATAGTTTAAATTTATAAAAAGTTTATTTTATAGGTTCATGGTAGGTGGAAAGATTATGATAGTTGGGAATATTTTATTTTAGAAATTGATATTTTTATTAGTGGTAATAAATAGGTATTGATTTTTGGGTAAAGTTGTAGGGAGTGATAGTATGTGGAAAATAGGGGGTATTTGTATGTAAGGGAGGTGGTATGGGGGGGGATGTAATGAATATATATGATGGATGAAGAGTAGGGGGGGGGGGAAGTTTGGGGTGGATGTAGAATGGTGGGGTGTGGGAAAGAAGAGAAGAATTTTATAAATAGATATTAAGAAGGTGAGGGGGGAATGTTTGTAATTGGATGAAGGTGAGGTATTATGTGGGGAATATATATAAATATATTTGTATTTGTATGGTGATAGTGGTGAGATGGAAGTTATGTAGAGTTAAATGAGGTGGGGGTTAGGTAGAGATTTGGTATGAAATGGGGATGGGTTATGGGATGGTGGGATATGGGGAGGGTTGGTAGATTTTTGGTTTGTGGGTGGGTGGTATTTATGTTTGGGGGGGGGTGAAATGTTATATGAATAAGAGGTTAGGAGTATGAAATGTGGGTGTAATTTGAATTGAAGAAATAAAATGGGGTTAGTTGTGTTTATTGTTATGGATGTTTGATTATGGGTGAGTAGAAAGTAGATTTGTAATAAATTGATTAGAAAGTTTTAAGATGGGTGGGAGGTAGTAAAATATTATATGAATAATGAAGAATAATTTGAGTAATTTTATGATTAATTTGGGATTTTATAATGGGTTAGGTAATTGTGGATTGGGGGGGTTTTTATAGTAATTTAAAGATTTTTGTAAATTTGTAGGGGTTAAAGGGGTTTGTTGTGTGGGTTAGGTTTTATTTTAAATGGGGGGGGGGGGGGGGGGGGGGGGGGGGGGGGGGGGAGGGTGGTAGGAATTTGGATGATGTGGTGTTTATTTTGTTTTTTGGTTTGGGTTGGGGTTTTATTGTGTTGTTTTTATTGGTTGTTTGTTTATTTTGATTTTGTATAATAGGGGGAGTTTGGAGTTAGATTAAGAGGGAGGGGGGAGTTTGGTGTTGGAAGTATGGGAGGGGGGGGGGATAGAATGGGGAAATAGGTGTTGGGGGTGGGTAGTGGGGAGATTAGGGGGGTGGGTAGGGTGATGTGAGGGGTAAATGATATGCATTTGATGGTATGAGATTAGTGAAGGGATTATGGTGGGGGTAGATGGAGGAAGGTGTGTAGGAGAAGAGTTTAAGGGTTGGTGGTAGGTGGTGTAGGATGTGGAGTAATAGGGGTGTATTTGTAGTATAGAGTTGGGTATGGGGGGTTTAATGAATTTGATATTTGGAGGTAGATTAATTGTGTTGATGGGGGGTGGTTGGGGTGTAGTAGTAATGGGGTTGTAAGGATTGGTGATGGGATGATATGATTTGAGTATAAGAGGGTGATATTAAGAGTGATGGAATGGTTTGTAATGGGTAAGAGTGGGGGTTGTATTTTGTGGGGGATTGGTTGGATATTATATTTTGTATTTTGTAGGGGTAAGGGTGGTGGAGGTATGGTATTGGTTATTAGGATAGAGTAGGGAGGATAGTGAGAGGAATTAGATGGGGAAGGATTGGGAGTTTTGTTAGTAGATGGGGGATGATTGTGTTTTGGTGTGGGGAAGGAGTGAAGTGATGTATGGTGGGATGAGTGGTTTAGGGGTATGGGGGTGGGTGTAGGTTAATATGAGGGTGGGGTTGATGGAATGGGGGTGGGTGAGTGGGTATTGTTGTGTGTAGAAGGGGGGAGGGGAGTGGAATGTTGGGGTGAGAGTTGTAGATTAGTTTTATTGGTGGGGTGAGTGGAATTGTATGTGGTGTTTGGGAATATGGGGGATGTAGGGGGGGTGGGAAGAGGAGGGGAAGGGGGGAGGGTTGAATGATGGTAGGTATAATTTTGGGGAAGGGAGGGGGGATGGGGTGGAGTATGTAGGAGAGAGAGAGGGGAAGATTTGGTGTGGGATTGTTTGAGGATGAGGTGAGGATGTAGGTTTGGTGAATTGATTGAGGGTTTGTGGGGGTATGTTGTGGTTGGGGTATTAGGGATTGTGGTGATGGTAGGGATGGGGGGATCGGATGAGGAATAGGTTTGATGGGTGAGAAAAAATTTGTATGTTGTTAAGAGGGGGAGGTTGAATGTGGGAAGGATTATGTGGGGGGGGGTGGGAGTGGGTGGGGTGGTGTTGGGGGGGTGGGGTGGGGTGGGGGGGGGTGATTGGGGGTGGTGGGGTGGGTGTGGGGTTAGGGGTGGGGGAGTGGGGTTGGGGGGAGGGTTGGTGTGTGGGAGGGGGTTGGTGGGATGGGGGGGGGTGTGGGGGGGGTGAGTGTTTGGGGTGGGGTGGGTGGTGGGAGAGGGGGGGGGTGGGGGGAGGGGGGGGATGGTGGGGGGGGTTGGGTGGGGTGGATGGGTGGGGTGGGGGTTGGGGTGGGTGGGTGGTTGGGGAGGGGGGGTGGGGGGAGGGAGGGGGGTGGGGGGGGGGTTGGGGGGTAGGGTGGGGGGGGTGGGGTAGTGGGAGTGTGGGGGGGGTTGGTGGGGTGGGGGGTGGGGGGGGGGGTGGGGGGGTGGGGAGGTAGTTGGGTTGGGTTGTGTGGGGTGGATGGTTGGGAGGGTGTGGGGGGTGGGTATGTTGGGGTGGGGTGGGAGTTGGGGGGTTTGGGTGGTGGGGATGGTGGGTAGGGGGGGGGTGGTGGGGGGGGTGTGGGTGAGGGGGGTGGGGTGAGTTGTGGTGAGGGGGTGGGTTGGTGGTGTGTGGGGGGGGTGGGGGGTGGGGTGGGGTGGTGGGTTGGTGGGTGGGGGGGTGGGTGATGAGTGGTGGGGGGGGGGTGGTGGGGGGTGTGGTGGGGTTGTGGGGGGGGGGGGGGGTGGGTTGGGGGTGGGTTGGGGGGGGTGGGGGATGGGTGGGGGTTGGGTGGGGTGGTGGGGAGGGTGTTGTGGGGGTGGTAGGGGTTGGGGTGGGGGGGGGTGGGTGGTGGATGTGGTTGTAGGAGTTGTGGGTAGGGTGTGGGGTTATGGGTGGGAGTGGGGGTGTGGTGGGGTTGGGTGTTGGGGGGGGGGGGGGTTAGGGGTGGGGGGTTGGGGGGGGGTAGGTGTGGGGTGTTGGGGGTGTGTGGGGGGTGGGGTGTGGAGGGGGGGGGGTGGGTGGGTTTGGGTGGGAGTGGGGTGTGGTGTGGGTTGGGGGGGGGGGGTTGGGTGTGGGTGGTGTGGGGGTGGTGGGGAGGGGGGGGTGGGGGTGGGTGGGGGTGGGGGGGGGGGGGTGGTGTGGTGTGGGGGGGTGGTGTGGGGGGTGTGGGGGGTGTGGGGTGGGGTGTGGGTGGTTGGGGGGTGGGGGTTGGTGTGGGGGGGTTTGGGGGGGTGTGGGGGGTGGGGGGGGTGGGGTGTGGGGGGGTGGGGGTAGGTGGGTTGGGATGGGGGTTGGTGATGGGGTGGGGGTGTGGGGGGGGGTGTGGGTGGGTGTGGTGGGGGATGTTGGGGTGGTTGGGGAGGGGGGGTATGTGGGGGATGGGGGGGGGGGGGGGGGGGGGGGAGAAGGTGGTGAGGGTAAATGGTGGTATTGTAGTAGGGGGGGGGGGTTGGTAGGGGGGGGGGGGGGGGGGGGGGGGGTGTATTTTTGGGGGGGGGGGGGGGGGGGGGGGGGGGGGGGGGGGGGGGGGGGGGGGGGGGGGGGGGGGTGGTTGGGGTGGTGGGGGGGGGGGGGGTGGTGGGTGGTGGGGGTTTGTTGGTGTTGGGGGGTATGTGGGATTAGTTGGATGGGGGGGATGGGGGGGTGTTTGGTTGGGGGGGTTTGTTTTTTGGGAGGTGGGGGGGGGGGGGGGTGGGGCGTGGGGGGGGGGGGTGTTTGGGGGGGGGGTTTGATGTATTTGGGGGGGGTGGGGTGGGTGGGTTGGTGGGGGTGGAATGTGGATAATGGGGGAAGTGAGGGGGTGGGGGGGGGGGGGGAATGGTGTATGGTTGGGGGTATTGTATGGGGTGTTTTGGGAATTTATGAGTATTTTATGGTTCTTTTTTTTGGGGGGTGGGTGTGGGAGGGCGGGGGGGGGAGAAAGAGGGAGAAGAGGGGAAATTATATATTGTTTGAGCAGTGATTGAATTAGGTTTCTTAGTTTATTTTGGGTGGAGGGACTATAATGTTTCAAAATATTATTGGGTGGAAGGGGAATTGAAAAGAAGGGGGAAGGTGATGGGGGTTGGTTTTCTATGGGGGGGGGGGGGGGGGGGGGGGTGGGGGGGGGGGTTGAGGGGAAGGGTTTATTGGGGGGTTGGGGGGGTGGGGGGGGGGATGGGGGCAATTATTGGGTGGTTTTGGCATATGTAAGGGTGTGTGAGTGGGAAAGAGGGTTAAATAAATTTAGTGGGAATAGAGTGGTTAGTTAAGTGATGCTGTAAGAGTTGTTTAATAAGTATGAAATGGGAGTGGTGTCACGATGTATGTATGCCAGGACGGACAGGTACAGTCACAGTGCGTTAAACACATGCAGGACTCACCTGTGGCATCGGAGCCGAGTGGAGACAGTGACACAGGTATGACCAAGAGCCTCACACAGAGATGAGACTGCAGGCTGAACTTTTAGATCTGATGCACATGAAATCTATAAATCCATAGGTATATAGGTCAAAAAATACTTCATTGGTTTAAACTTGTCAGTTTTCTCGTGTACACACGCATCACATACCTCTCGCCTGGAAGCACCTGGAGCCTGAATGTAATGATACATGTAAATCTCCTGTTCAGGATTGGAAAGCTGGAGCCCCTGTCACAGTTTGAAATTCACCAAAGGTCAATGAACCAGAAGACTGAGTAAAGAATGGCTTTGACATCTCAATGCTGATGTAAGATCTTAATTATCCTGTATGCACGTAGCAGGCTACCATGCTCCAACCACACGACACACATCCAACTGAACACTGCCCCGGGATCAGGAGCAAATGAGAGCAATAATATTACTAGTAAATACTTCAAAGCACAGTAGCCTGTGGGACAGGATCACACTTCACATGAATGTTACATTAGATAAGACCATTAGTTTTAGTAATTACCACTTTCACTCCCTGCTCCAGGCAGTCGCTCAAGCCCCTGCCCTGCAAACTGGAGGTGGAAAAAGCTCCAGCTGCTCCAGTGGAAGCGGCTGGTGCACCCAGGCAGCAGACTCCCTCTCTGTGCCTCCCAGCCAGCACTGTGACCTCAGTGGGGAGTGGGCCATGAGGCTTTAACAGGCCCAGAGGGGTTTCATATTAAACTGTCCCATATGGCCATTAGAACGTCCCACCTGGGGAGTGCTGGGAACTCAGGGGAGCCACGAGCCTGGCGGGAGGCAGAAAAAGTGTACGTTGACAAAATGCTTTACGCCACAACAGTGCTTATACTAAGGCCGTATTATTGGAGTTTAAAAAACCATATATGAGGAGATTGGATACGAACAAAGAGGTCTTCTGTCTTGGGAATACCACCCTGCTTTTCATGAGTGCTTCAGTGACAAACAAGCCCACTACCATGAGAGAGGGCAAGTTCCTCCCAACATCTACATAGATATTATTTCCTTTTTTAAAGAGCCTGAGTAATGTAATCTGCAACCCTAAGCTCGCCGCTTGATTGCAGAGGTCACTTTTCCAAACAAAAGTGGCTTCTTGGAATCCCATTGGTGCTACATAGAAACTCTGCATCTGAAAATATCAAAGGGTTTGACAAACAGAGGCACATTTGATTACTTTGGCACTCCCATCCAACATTGCTTTTCTTGAGGAGGGATCACTTATGCACAGCTCTGGGTGATTATGGCTGTATCATTTTTTTTCATGCCATACAATGGACAATGATGGAAATAAGCAAGTGGTTCCAGTGTCCCCATACCAAAAAGGTAATCAACATACTGTATGAAGACCCATAGAAGGCAAACTATATTTATACTATTGTGTTTAGAGTCTTCGTTTAGACAATTCAAATAGGTTCAAGACTAGGATGAGGTGATTGTTACGGCCCTGAGCCTACATATTGCTCCCTGTTTTTGTATTTTGTGTGTGTGTGTGGAAACCTCATGTCTGAAGATCCCTGGCCTGTCATTGGTCATTCACTGGCCCTCCCGCCTCCCGGAGGTTGTGACTCGGGTGCTGATTGGAGGAGCGGCAGTGCACCTGGCCGGTCCATCTCCCCCACCTGGAGTCAGTCTCCACTTAAGGCCACACTCCACACCTGTTCGAGGCTGCCAGCCTGTGTGTGGCTGGTATGCCAAACTGTCCTTACGAGTGTCTGTCTTTGTCACAGTGGTGACAATGACGTATAGACAGTCCTTATGGTCCTTTTAGCTTTTATTTGGTTTGTCTCTTTTTATTTGTCACGTTGGAGTTTTGTTTTTGTGACACTTCGCTTCTGTTGAGGCAACAGTCAGTTTAGTGTTTTGTTTTAGGTGGGTTAGTGTTTAGTGTTTAGTGTAGCTTTTATTTTGGTAACGTTGAGTTACCCCCTTATGTCCTGTGGTGTCCTTTTGATTTGTTTCCTTATCATTCACTTGCCTTTTATTAAATACTTGCTTTTCCATTCAACATCTTGGTTTTAATTTGTTACCTCCCTCACCCTAGCTGAGCTGGGTCGTAACAAAAGTGGGGGCTCGTCCGGGATCGAAACACCCTATCCCTTAAAAGCGGTGAAAGTAATTGGTATGTATTTGGTAAGTGATTTGGCCCAAATTGATATTCGGTACGTTAATTGGCTGTTGAAATTTGGTGATGTTTTGTAGATTGGGTGGTAGGATGGTGGCTGCTGTTGTGGCGGTCCAGACAATCGCAACCTGCGTATAGGGCGTGTTTCAGGGGTGATTTGTGTCCGGCCTGATCAACTGTGCCCATTTCATGTCCTGTTCATGTCTTCTCCTCCAGTTACACTGGGGTGGAGCCCGGCTCCTAGGATGCCTGGCTCACTCCATGGGGCTGGAGCAGCTAACGTGGTGGCCTGTGTTCTGGGCCCTACACAACCCACCAGGGTTCGTAATCCCACCTCACTACTTTCATCATGTGAGTACTGTAGACTTGGTGAATACAAAACATGGGATGTTTTGTAACTTAAGGGGGAGAGTGTTACGGCCCTGAGCCTACATATTGCTCCCTGTTTTTGTATTTTGTGTGTGTGTGTGGAAACCTCATGTCTGAAGATCCCTGGCCTGTCATTGGTCATTCACTGGCCCTCCCGCCTCCCGGAGGTTGTGACTCGGGTGCTGATTGGAGGAGCGGCAGTGCACCTGGCCGGTCCATCTCCCCCACCTGGAGTCAGTCTCCACTTAAGGCCACACTCCACACCTGTTCGAGGCTGCCAGCCTGTGTGTGGCTGGTATGCCAAACTGTCCTTACGAAAGTGTCTGTCTTTGTCACAGTGGTGACAATGACGTATAGACAGTCCTTATGGTCCTTTTAGCTTTTATTTGGTTTGTCTTTTTATTTGTCACGTTGGAGTTTTGTTTTTGTGACACTTCGCTTCTGTTGAGGCAACAGTCAGTTTAGTGTTTTGTTTTAGGTGGGTTAGTGTTTAGTGTTTAGTGTAGCTTTTATTTTGGTAACGTTGAGTTACCCCCTTATGTCCTGTGGTGTCCTTTTGATTTGTTTCCTTATCATTCACTTGCCTTATATTAAATACTTGCTTTTCCATTCAACATCTTGGTTTTAATTTGTTACCTCCCTCACCCTAGCTGAACTGGGACGTAACAGTGATTCACCAAACTTCGCTCCTGGCTTTCCCAAACGGCCTCCACTGTCCAATGAATCATACTGAACTGTCTTTGGAAAATGGTGAGAAATACATGAACTATAACTGTTGTCTGTCGGCACATCCTGATGTTTTGCACCTGCTTGTGTGGAAACAAGTCAACAGTATTAACAAGAACATGTGCATAAAGGCTGCATTGTTTAATCTGTTGAATGTCGTATTGTCGTCTACGGCGTTGCCACAGAGAATCCAGACCGATGGATCACCTGTTCTTTCCATCGCTGGAACGCTCTAGGATCTTGTCCTTTAGAAGTCATTTATTCAAAGGGTGGAGGACATGGAAATACAATTTGCTAAAGGCTGCTTGCTCTCTGAAGTGTTCATATTATTACAGTTCTGTTTGATGACTATTGGCATCGGCTGAAACAACCAATATTACATTTCAGAAAGAAAGGATGTATGTATATTGTAAATGTCTGCTTATTCACGTGCAATGAGAAAACTATTGTTGACAGTTGTTATGAACTATTGTGGCTCACTGTAACTAGAGCTTCACAGATTCATGGCTCAACACTTTCCAATGAAAAACTTGTTTCCATTTAAGAATAAAAGAAAACAAGGGAAGTGGGAAATTAGTTCTGAAACATGACCCTTTCCAGCAAAATGTCCTGTTAATTTATGACTTTGCATGTCCAAATGTAGGTAATAACTCTTAATAAGCGGTGGTGTTTGGAACTCTAAATCTGCTAAAATAATTCCAATTGGCAACAGTAGTGTGAGTGTAAAAGAGAGCGACATCACTATAATGATACCTAGAAAAGCACTCGTAGAGCACATACTTCCACCTAGAGGTGCAGTTCCATTTTTGAAAAGTCTTGATCCCTGTTTTACTCCCATTTAACACTTTTCCGAACATCTTTGACCATAACTTTGAACTGTTTGTTGGTTGTTTGATTATAAAGGGTTTTCCAGGGCTGGCTTTAAATGTAATAGCTGTGACATGTTTTATTAACAAACAGAAGTGTTAAAAGGTCTGTTTGACATCATATTGATCCATGTGATGGTAAATTATACCTGGCAATGTGATTACCGAACTTTATTGTTTTATGAATAATTGCAGTATTGATGTTTGTCTCAACAGAAAAAAAAGTCTTGTAAAAGTGGAAATATTGTGAATAAATCAGACCACAACATGGCGTCTTTATTGTATGAGAAATTTTATCTTGTGCATGTAAGATAGAACCGGGTGAGTTATTATTTGAAGCTTCGGGCTGAGAGCTGATTGGCTGAGTGAGGGTGGTCGTCTGTTGTCGTGATTCTGTCTGAAAAAGCTGATCAAAGTGAATGAGATGGATTTCATTACATGCTCTCACTTATGAAGTTTGGCAGCCCAGCTCGAATCCATAAATTGCTTCAATGTTTTATATAAAAACAAATAAATCATGTTTTGCTGATGTTAGTTCTGACAAGAGGAGTTCAAGTCGGTGTAACCCAAACAAAAACCTCAGCTCAAGATAAGAAATTCATGGAAAAGAACACCAACGCTTTGAGAGGTTCCGCTGCAGTACATGGTTTTTCTTTGACCAACAACAGTGTGATGTACTGAAGATAACTGGATATAAGGCAGCTCTTACATTGAGTGGAAGCAGATGCTGACTCAACCTTTCTGTGTGGAGTTTGCATGTTCTTCACGTGTCTGTATAGGTTTCCTCTGGGTGCTCCAGTTTCCCTTACCACTAAAAAGATGTACAATGGGTTTTGAGGGTGACTGTGCAGATGAAAATTAGCCACATAGCTACAATCAGCTGTTTACATCCAAATGAGAACACGTGAGGTCATGCTGTTCACTGTTTAGCCGTGCATACAACTGAAGGATTTTATATTTTTTATCTTTCTTTTTAATGTACCGTGATTATTCATGTTCATGCTATCTTATTTTCTTCAGCACTTTCAGTTGCCTTGTGTATGAATTGTGCTGTACAAATAAACTTGCCTTGCCTAGCGGGGCGACAGTGGCTCAGTTGGTAGAGCATTGGCCTTTGGGCCTGAAAGTCGGGGGTTTGAGTCCACCACGGAACCTGCTCCCACTAATGTCTTCTATCGTTGTGTCCTTGGGCAAGACACTTAACCCCACTTTGCCTGAAGCTCCCACGGAAAGACCAAGGCTGTGGCACCTTTGACGTAGCAGCCATCTTCCTGTGGACTCACCACCTGCAGAGGATCATCGATAAGAGGACCCTAATAAAGGGGTAGAAAATGAATGAATGCCTTGCCTTCTCTGTGTGGGATGTGGATGAGTTGTCAACATACTGTAAACTTTGTCTCGAGAGATGGATCATAATGTCAACACAAGTCAATTCCAGAAGCCAGCCTCCAATTATTATCAATGATTTTGTTGAAAAAAAATGTTTACTTACAAAACGAGTATAGCAGCATGTTGAGGTTCTTGGCACAGTCGTCACTTTTACTTGGTTAATAAAGTCATGACAATTCCAATCCAAAGTTTGTCACCA